AAGTACACAACGATTGAATTAAATATCGTGTGCAAACTATAGTGATGGCAAATTATTTAAAGGAAGTTTTAGCTGTTTAAGAAGTCAGTAACTATTTTCACAAAATATGTATATTTGCTATAATGTGAGCCTTATGTAAATAATATGTACTGTCTTATATTCGACATATCTATTATATACATAGATATACATATTTGTTAGCAAGTGTTTATGTATTTGTGCAAATTAGAACAATGTGATTTTCTACTATAACCAACAGTTAGACTGAAATTCCGACAGACAGTCATTGAAATATGATGCTTATCAAAAGTAAAGAAAAAAACAGTAAAACTGTTAAAAAACTTCTTTAGGAAAACAATCGAAAAGAATTCACTGCAAATATTTATATAAAATCTACTATTTGCTGATTGCTGCTCCCCATTAAATGAAATGCATGAAAAGAAAACTTCCCAGCAAAAACTTACATTGAAAAGTAAGGACTTAAAATCCCACAATTTACTTACACAATAGCATTTTAAATGCTATAGGAGGCAAGTATTTACCAGGCTCGCTTACAAATATGGAGTTTAGTAATTACTTACTACGATCGCCTGCAAATGGGTATTTATGTAAGTTGTTTTGTTTCCGAAAAAGAACAGCCTACTGCGTCTACTAATAGTTTTAACAATACTGACATAAAATTAACTACTTACATAATATATTATTTGTAAGTCATTACTAGACTCCTTCTAAATAATGCAGACGGTATGTAGTAGTTATTGAAAAGTAAGTTGTTGAGTAAGTACAAGTCAATAACCATGTTCTTGCTGGGTTACAAAACTCATTCTATTTACTACAATTAGGGTATTTTTCGACAGTTTATGAAATTGATCTAGGAATAGAGTTTACTTAGTATACGAGTATCTCTAGTAGTTTACACAGGGAACTATTTACTAACCCATACCTCTTCGACTCTGATAGTTGTATAAAAATTTCCAAAATTCAAGAACAAGTCAGAATTTTGAACCATTAAAATTGAATTCCTGACGGATCATCATTATCTATGATGAAAATCATTAAGAAACCTCCCTAATAAGAATGTTCATATGTATGAATGTACAATAGGTCTTGCACTTTGCATTGCTATCACAGTTTTCTAATCGTATAAAGGCTGTGAGAGGTGTTGTAAATAATATGTACAGATGTAACAGATCGAGTCACAACTCTAGCATTACCAGCAGCTTCTCGTGCTGTAGTAAATAATGTCAGTTGTTGCAAGGTGGCGTTAAAATTGTATTTTTTAATTTGTTCCATTTGTTAGCCAACAAACTGTGTTCATTACATGAGAAGTTGTGTTGCCTGTTAGAAAATACCTGTGGCCAGTCTACAACAATACAACGAAAGTGTTCTTCTGTCTGTTTCATTTCTGCAGTAAGAGGAGCTGCTCAGAAAGCTGTTCATGATCTGTTTACTTTTCATTAAAACGTTTGCTTTTGTTGTGTTAACAAAAAGAAAAAAAGAAAGAATGGAAAACAAGTCTTGTCATACTTTTAAAGCTCATTCATAGGAGTCTTTTGTATGTATGTATATTTGATTATTGTTATATTTAAAGTCTAAAAACGTTCATTATCTCAAATATTATTTCAATTTTTTTTTTCGTTCCTATTTTATTTTTTCTCATTTACTTTGGCTTTTTATATGTTTTTTTTTTTTTTTTGCTGTCGAATTTCTATTGTTTTATGGTTCCTATAATAGTGTACAGGCATCAGGAAAAATGCCACCAACCGAACGACAGTCCGACTAACCACTTTACTAAATATGGTCATCGTCCTGTCCTGTTGGTGTTAATGGCCGGTATGTGAAGTCTTGCCAAAAAAAAAAAAAAATATCAAAATGAAACGAAAATATCACAATAGACTGCTAGAAAAACGAAATATATTTTTATCTGTATAAAAACATTTCTGTTCCATTTTCCAACATTTAAGTAAAATTTTAATATCTTTCTGTTCGTTGTTTTATGTTTGTGCATAAATGTATCAACACACATTTAAATTAACGTGGATAATGCTGGATTTATCTTTTATGTTTCATTTCATTCTCTATGTTTTTATTTTTTTCCTCATTTTTATTTTGCAGCATTCTTAATTAAATTGTATTCTTCCAAAAATTCATTTTGTTCCATGACGATTCATCAGTAGTAACCTGCTGTTTATGAAGGTGAAAAAAAAACTCGATTTCTCTTGCCGAGAGAATATCTAATCTCTTAAATAGATTTTCAATTTACAAAAACGTCTGTATACAATATACATACATACATATGTATTTATGTATATGGATGTCACCTATTAGGTTGACTGTGATTTATTGCGGAAATTAAGTTTCGGATATAAAACAAACTTTTTAAATTTATGCAATAAAATGTTAATTTAACATTTTATTGATGAACCATAAACCTATATATACCGACCTTTCTTTTTGAGTTTTGAGCCCGTTTTTTAATAATAATATTTCACCGACAGTTCTGCATTTTGTTCTTCAGTAAGGGTCAGTACTCATGATATTGCTATATTGGGCTTGAATAAGGTTCAGCTTAAAATTAAAAGGAATTGACTTTCAAGAGAGTTGTAGGTTTATGATCACTATGTATATGATCCATAGATGACGGTACGATTAACAAGCGAGGTAATGGGTTTTTTTTTATCGAGCCTCCATTCTAGATGAGCCATGTTTTTCTCACTATGCCGAATTATCTCATGCAACACACACATTCAGCTCACGCTACTTTATCTATCAAATTTGGTTACGGGGGTTGCTCGCTAGTTAGCAAGTTCACTCGGAGGCCTTGTGGCCTATTATGATACCCTTATACCAAGATAGAGGAGTATGTACTCTCGTAAGGCTGGGCAGTCACATACTTACAAGGAAACAGATATAAATATTCGATATTTTATAGCTATATCGGCTCTGAAATTACTAGTATTACTAAGACTTACTCTTTTTCTAATATACGAAATTTGAAGTATTTTTCAAACCACCCTAATAAATACATATAAACATATTATATGTACGTATATATATATATGTTTGTATGTAAGTAAAATATTCCATTGTTTTTTCATCCATTGAATTTTTGTTTTTTTTCCACTTGTGTAGGCTTTTCACGTTGACCGTTGACGTGAAAATTAATTAAGTTATCATTTGAAACGTAAATCGCAATCGTTTTGAAATTAGGTGCAAAAAATTTACATTAGAGGGACTCACAAAAATGGTGCTAGAGTTACCCTTCTCAAAATATATACCTTATTATGGTATAAGAAGTTACTCAAAAAGTTTTGGGGTTTGAGTCTATCGATGGTCCTAGTTAGCTGGACCGGTTACAAAAAAGGCATTTTTAATTTACTCTTTTAGATTCGGTTTATTAATATATAGTCCAGCTCACGGACAGTCATCTCAAGAATTAAAACATTTTAGAACAAAGCAAGGTACATTTTGAGACTGAATTTCCATACAGACTGAGCCGGTCTAATATACATATATTCATACATACATGTATTAATATTGCTGTTGATTTTTTCTACAAATTTTTTGGTTGGAATTATGTGTGGTTTTTATACCCTACTTTTATTTAAAAAAGCTTAGAACCCTTTTCCAACGGTAAGACACTGGTAAAAATTCTCTTTCATGAAATGACTTTAGTCTGCATAATTGACTTTAAACTGTAAGTTTCCTGATCTCAGTTTTGCCACAGTGTTTAACTGGGCATAACTGGGCAAAGACCCTTCTAAGGAGGAAATTTCTATTGTGGTTGTGGATCATTTCTCGTAATAGTCGGTCATGCTGTACTAAAATATCTACTTGTTATACCCTAGTGGTGTACTATAGTGGGGAGGGTATTATGTGTTTGTGCTGTTGTTTGTAACACCTGAGAATATTGGTCCCACAACTACCTTAAAGTATACCAATTGGCTCAGAATCACTTTCTGAGTCGATGTAGATATGTCCGTCCGTCTATCTGTCTGTCCGTCCGTCTGTGTGTCCATGTAAACCTTGTGCGCACTCTACAGGTCGCAATTTTGAAGAAATTTGGCACATACTCTTCTTTTGACCCAAGCCTATTGTAAATGGTTAAAATCAGTCCATTATTTCATATAGCCCCCATACAACCGTACCCCCCGAAATGTTCTTGTATCACTCCAAAAATCGACAAAACTGATTTTCGAATGATCGATCCTCATTTGACCCTGTCCTCCATACTAAGTCGCCTTCAGAAAATGACTTGATGGTCAAAATTCACTTATATACAATAATAAGACGATGATATTCTGCATAAATAACTGATGTAGGTGTAAAGCCCTCTACCAAAATTTATAAGGATAGGACCATATTATCCCCTTGCCCCCATATAACCAATCTTTTAGAAAATCCCTTTTTTTGTCAACAAATTGTTAAATTATTTCTGAATTATTAAAATATTTCTAAATTATTAAAGTAAATAATCAAAATTTGTAATATAATCACTGGTGTAGGGTTTCATATGGTCGGCCATGCCCGACTATGGATTCTTACTTGTTTTTCTTTTTTTTTAGTAAAAATTTGAAGATAAATTAAATAAAATATTTATATTACCTTTCAAGCCAGTTAATGCCACACACACACACACAAAAAGCAAATTATTTATTACATTTTAATTTTATTTTATTGTTTTTTTTTTCAAGCTGCATTGATATGTTAGTGATAAATCAAATAAAGAATGAATGTCTAAAATTTATAAATAAAATAAAAAACAACATACACAGTCACACACATACATTTAAATATGGATTTCAGTTGTTATAAAAAAATGCATATTTTATGTGATTCATACATATGTACATATGTATAGCATAGCTTTTTATATGCATTTATACATACATTAATAAAAGCATTTTTAATTAATTTAACAAATTTTATTATATTTTCCTGTTTTATATTTTTTGCATTCAATTCATTAATTTTTTCTGTCTGTTGCTTTTTATTTACAGTGATAACATCCTTATTAACTGCACATCTGCCGGGATATTGTTGTGGTCAACAGCAGAAATTCCGTGTGACACCGCATGATTTACAAGTGCTGGAAGGTGCTGAGGCCATGTTGCGTTGTGAAGTTACAAATTTAGCCGGTGCTGTGCAATGGACAAAAGATGGTTTTGCGCTGGGGTTTTCAGCGGTAATACCGGGATTTCCCCGTTACTCGGTATTGGGTGATCGCAAACAGGGTGCTTACAATTTAAGAATATCGAATGCCTCCATAACCGATGATGCTGAATACCAGTGTCAAGTGGGTCCCGCCCGTTTAAATTCGGCCATACGTGCTAATGCCAAACTCACTGTTATATGTAAGTAATAAATATAATTAAATAAACAAATTTAACTAAAACTGTAAACAACTCCCTGTCATATAACTTTATTACTTAGCTTTTTTATACCGCCATAAAACTACTTCAACTTTTAATTTTCCAATGGGAGTATATTTTATTTTAACATCCTTTTTTTGGATTTTCAATATTTCTCTTCCTTTTCATACTCACATATGTATGTTTATGCAGCACTAAAGTTAAGAAAAAAAATACAGTTTAATTGTTTGTCTCCACATAAATTTTTACCCATGATTTCTCTAAATTTAAATTAATAGTGTTGAAATACATAAAAAACTCAAAAACTTGCTTGAGAAATACTTAAAACTATGCAAAAGAAAGTTTTCAAATTAATGTCTTCAAATAAAAACGAATGATAGTGTTGAGACTTGTAATGTTGCAATAGTTGAGGAAAACTTAAAATTGAAGACAATAAAAAAGCGATATATTTATTGATTTTTTGTTCTACCGAACACTTGAAAGATGTAAGAAATTAAAGAAAATATCGTTTTTATTGTTGGCTAAAAGTTTATGAAACATGTTGCTGACAAAACTAATGTTGGAAAGGAATTTGTTGTCATAGCAAGTGAATAATTTTTTATTTATTTTTTTCAATTAAATTTTAGTGGGAAGGGTATATTGGTGTTGATGTTTTTAACTCTCAGAAATACTCTCTTTATGGTAAACCATTCAGCTTAAAACCTTTTTCTGACTCGATTAGAGTCCATGTAAAGCTAAATTACAAAGACCTTTAGTTTTACATGGACAGACAGTCGGACGGACATAGCTAAATCGACTCAAAAAATGATCCGGAGCCGATTGGTATGCTTCACAGCACAAACCCAATGTAACCTCCGCACAAATCATAATGATATAATTTAAAAACTAATTCTGTATATTATTTACAAGGCAACTGTTTACACTTTAAAATATTTATTTATTTCTTCTAAACATGAGTGTAGAAGTTTTTATTCAATAGATCTTGAAATGACAACATGTTAACCTACGTAATGTTGTAAAAACACCCGCTAAACAGTCACTGCATAAGCCCAGAGACAGTACAAACCAGGCTAAATTCTACTAAACTAAAACCAATCCATTGCAATCCGAAATCGAAAACCAAAACCAACTAACAACATCTACTGTCTCATTAAATTTTTATAATATTAGCTTGAATCCTCTTTTCCCTTAAAACATTTCCTTTTATTTGTACATATATGTATGTATGTGTGTGTGTCTGTGTATGTAGTTTTATATTCCGTTTTGTAGCAAACAGAAAGCAATAACAAAAATAACATTGAAACAACTGACTTACTGCATTCCCCAGTAGTTAACAAGGAGTCAATGTATCCCTTACTATACAGCCACCTAGTTCTAGTCCATCAAGGACTTGTATTTTTCGCTTTCAGTCTTTGATATGTCACATAGAAGAAAATCTTATTATCACTTTTGCAGTCAGGCGGGAGTCAATAGTCTATTAAGTGTTCCAAAGTATTCTAAAACGGAACCACTTTAAACATTTTTTTAGTGCCAATCCTTAAAAAATAGTTCTTTAACCATGCTTAAGTATTCTATAGTTGAATCAGTGGTCTGTAACCAGATAATCCTAAATGGTAGATAAATCACTAACTCGTGACAATCACCCTCGATCTGGAGGGTTGTATTCAAACTTCCACACATACATACATATAAAGTAAAAGAAACTGGAGAATGCAATGTTTTGAATGATCGAATAAATGAACAATTGAATGAATGAATGAATGAATGAATGAACAAACGATTGAATGTTGGAAAAATGTGGAAACCCATCCAAAAATAGTAGTCTGTTGCTGTCAATTGTTGGTTGCTGCAAACGCTTAACGATGAAAAAAAAAAGAATCCACTAGAACTTTATTGTAAGGCTGTTGAGGTGACCGTGTGGTACTACGAATCGTAGTGATAGTGTAAATGTTATTTGTGGCACTGGCTTTGGCTGTGGCTCGAGATGCTGTCAGTGATATTGAATTTAAAATTTTTTTTGTTTCCTACTTTACTTTTTTAGTGTTAGTGCAACTATTTTTTACTTGTTCCCTTCAAGGAAGTGGCACATAACAATGGTATTAAATTTTTTATTATGTTTCATTGTTAGTGACAAGTGAAAAATTTGTGTTTAAATGTCTGGGTATATCTACATACTATAAATAACCAATACCACAAAAAAGACATTCAAATGAAACGTATAAATAGTATATTCAAGTATTTCTTTTATCTACATTAATTATTGTAGCACTCTTTCAGATGGTTTGCATTTATTCGCTGAATAGTGCCAGACATGTGCGTAAATAGCATTTTCCTTTCAATTTGTATGTGAAAATGTTTATCATTACATATCAGCAAATTCTTCTGCAGTAACTACTCCCTCCCCCTAACCCGCTAGAGAAGAAGCAACGTTAATATAATTCATTGTCATATATCTCTTACACAATTTCAGCTTTATTTTTCGCCGCTTTCAAAGGATTTCCTTAAGACTTTTTATGCTGAATATTTCGCTTTTAATCTGCAACACAAAAATTGAATTTTTTGCAGAAATTTCTTAAAAAGAAGCTATGCGTAGGATTAAAGTTCTGTTTAAGACATCATATATGTATAAGAATGCCAAAGAATAAAAGGTTGAGGGTTTTTTTTTTGAGGAAATAAAAAAATATTTATGCACAAAAAAGACTTAATCAATGACAGTGGGAAATATCTAACAAAACTTGGAAATATCACAGTTTGTAATGACTATTACTTACCAAGTAATGACTAAGCTATATATCCATATATAAATTCATTAAAAAAAGGAAATTTCAAAAGTAATAGGTTTTTAAATATTTGACAAAATTAGTTTTATTTAAATTAAATTTTTTTAAATATCAATCGATTTCTTTAGGCAATACCCTAAACTAATTTGAATTTAATTTTCCAAGAAAATGAAAAAAAAAACTCCTAAACGCAATAGAAAAGTAATCTAAAATGTAATCAGCATGTTGTTCCTATTTCTGGTTTTCTTCCTTCTTTTTTGATTATAAATTAATAAAGGCGAACAAAATAAAGGTTGATTTTATTTTATATTGTGAGCAAAAGAAAAGAAGCAGAAAAAGTAGAAAATAACAAAAAAATAAAAGAAGAAAACGATTAAAGTTGACGGGCTCTAGGGTACTCGTTAAAATGTTACCCTTAAGTCATATTTATACTTTTATTGCTTTAACATTTATTGCATTTGTTTTGTTGTTCTGCTCCGATCTGCCCTGTTCGCTTTTTCGTTAAATATTCGTTTATATTTTTCATTGTTGTTTTCATTTATTTTATTTTTTTTTTTAAAGCAATAACAACAGCAAATACAAAATTGTAGAGTAAAAATATGTTCCTTTTTTTTTATAAATATGTATATGTTGGCTGTTGTTGTTGTTGTAGCTCCTTTTTTTGGGTCAATTTCCTGTTGTTGTTTACAGAAGGAAATTTGACCATTTTCATAAAACAAAGAGAACGAGTAAACGAAACAGCCAAACAGACAAACGAATAAATACATAAACAAACAAAAAACACAAATAAACGAACATTCAAATAAACGAAAAGACGAAGAACCCAACAACGGCTACAAACGGGTGAACAAACAAACAACAAGGAAATCAAAGATGCAAAAGAGCAACAAACAACTTTCTGTTTGAGTGTGTGTGTTTTTTTAAGGTTCCACCTTGTAATGTACTTTTTTTTATTCATTTGTTCAGTTAAGGGAAATGTATTGTTTGGACCAAGTAAATTTTCAATTATGCATGTGTAAGGGAATACATAAAATACAGTATGTGTAAGTTTAGTCATGTGTAAGTTTGTACGATGTTCAAGATTTCCTTTTTGTACCTTATAACCGTATATTGTTATAAATAATGTTATAACTTAAGGGGTACCACAACGGTTCAGAAACACATTACAAGCGATATCGGCCCTAGTTTTGGTCTAACTTGAAATGGTTGCATGCTCCCGCAAAAATGCATACATAGTTGATATCATTTAACTAGTCTATAGTCTAGTCTATAGTCTAGTCTATAGTCTAGTCTATAGTCTAGTCTATAGTCTAGTCTATAGTCTAGTCTATAGTCTAGTCTATAGTCTAGTCTATAGTCTAGTCTATAGTCTAGTCTATAGTCTAGTCTATAGTCTAGTCTATAGTCTAGTCTATAGTCTAGTCTATAGTCTAGTCTATAGTCTAGTCTATAGTCTAGTCTATAGTCTAGTCTATAGTCTAGTCTATAGTCTAGTCTATAGTCTAGTCTAGTCTAGTCTATAGTCTAGTCTATAGTCTAGTCTATAGTCTAGTCTATAGTCTAGTCTATAGTCTAGTCTATAGTCTAGTCTATAGTCTAGTCTATAGTCTAGTCTATAGTCTAGTCTATAGTCTAGTCTATAGTCTAGTCTATAGTCTAGTCTATAGTCTAGTCTATAGTCTAGTCTATAGTCTAGTCTATAGTCTAGTCTATAGTCCTAGTCTATAGTCTAGTCTATAGTTAGTCTATAGTCTAGTCTATAGTCTAGTCTATAGTCTAGTCTATAGTCTAGTCTATAGTCTAGTCTATAGTCTAGTCTATAGTCTAGTCTAAGTCTAGTCTATAGTCTAGTTATGTCTAGTCTATAGTCTAGTCTATAGTCTAGTCTATAGTCTAGTCTATAGTCTAGTCTATAGTCTAGTCTAAGTCTAGTCTATGTCTAGTCTATAGTCTAGTCTATAGTCTAGTCTATAGTCTAGTCTATAGTCTAGTCTAGTAGTCCTAGTCTATAGTCGAGTCTATAGTCTAGTCTATAGTCTAGTCTATAGTCTAGGTCTATAGTCTAGTCTATAGTCTAGTCTATAGTCTAGTCTATAGTCTAGTCTATAGTCTAGTCTATAGTCTAGTCTATAGTCTAGTCTATAGTCTAGTCTATAGTCTAGTCTAGTCTAGTCTATAGTCTAGTCTATAGTCTAGTCTATA